AGGGAAACATGCTGCTGTGTATTTCTCAGCTGTACAGAGAAATACACAGCAGCATGCTCTTGCTGGCAGAAGAGAGATCTCTGTTGTTTACACACTGGTCTCTCCCCTGCCAGTGTTACTCAGTGATCGCCGGGTGTTGGCTGGGACCCGGTGATTGACATCCATAGCCTCCAATGGCGGCACAGATTGGGCAGCGCGCACGTTCCCTACTTGGAAATGCAAATCACCTATATATACACGTGTCCTTGTGCAGCCCTGTAGCAGTCTTTCTGCTATAGGGTGAAGGACAACTGGTTAAATCAATAGAAAAAAAACAAAGAAATAGAAAACAGAAAACCTCCATAAACAGAATTTTATACCCATAATAACCCCCAGTGGATCCAGAGGAAGGCAAAAAAAACCTATAAAACATGAGCCAACTTACTCCAGCAAAGAAATTCATTACTTTGTATAGGAAAAACATTTTTAAAGCTTTGGATGGGATAGGGAAAGATTGTAACATCATCAAAGAGCACCTGCCTGGGTCCCCCTGATTCCCCATGTGGGGGATCTCCTCCGGGCACCCGCTGACACAATGTAAAAAGAGTGCAGTCATTCAAGGCACCACCCACATGGCTGCATCATTCATTCACAGTGATCTGTCAGTGATTGAACTACAATTACCGTCTGCCACTGCCACAGTTCTCAATGGACTGCGAGGATGCTTCTGAGTGCTCTTGTAGTTCATTGATTGTCCTGCTCTCCAGTAACTGGGAGTACATGGGAGGTATGGGCAGACAGCTATACTCTAGAATCCTGGTATTGCACTCGCCATCTGCTGATCGCATGTTTAATGCCCTGCAGAAAAAAAAATGCCAATTTTTATCTGCAAAACAATAGGCATTTTTTTTTTTTTTAAACGTGAGCTTAACCTTTAAATATTTTCCCTTTATTTGAATTGCTTATTCAATGAGTAGCAAACTTTCTGTCTTGGTGCAATGATAGGTTCTGTGCATGCAACGAAGCATACAGTAGATTGCTATCCATTCAATTATTCACATGCTTTAACCACTTGCCTACCGGGGTCTTTTACCCTCTTCCTGCCCAGGCCAATTTTCAGCTTTCAGTGTTGTCGCACTTTGAATGCCAATTGCATGGTCATGCAACACTGTGCCCATATGACATTTTTATCATTTTTTTCACACAAATTGAGCCTTTTTTTGTGGTATTTATTCACCACTGGGTGTTTTATTTTTTACTAACAAACAAAGAAGGACCAAACATTTTGAAAAAAAAATGTATTTCTTAGTTTCTATTATAACGTTTTTCACACAGGTAATTTTTCTCCTTCACTGATGTGCGCTGATGAGGATTGGCATTGATGAGGCTGCACTGATAGGCAGCACTGATGGGCACTGATAGGCTGTACTGATATGCACTGATAAGGAGGCGCTGATGAGGCTGCACTGATATTTGGCAATGATGGGCACTAATAGGCAGCACTGATGGGCACTGATAGGAGGCACTGACTGGCACCACTGATGGGCACTGATTGGAAGCACTGATGGCCACTGACGGTGGTACTGATTGGCAGCACTAATGGGCACTGTTGGGTCTGCAGTGATAATCAGTGCCCTTATTATCAGAGTAGATGTTCCCTTTCACACGTTCCAGTTATCGGCAGTACTTTCAAATAGTGTGTTTACATTGTGATCAGTTCTAAGGGATTTCCGGCAAGAAGAATCGCGATCGGGAACGCGCATGCGCATAGGAATTCCTGCAGAAGAATTGTCGGTTGTGCGCATGCGCGCGCGGGGAACGTGCGATTGGCGCCAGACGGCCCATTTAAGGAGTCATTCTGCTCAGGTTCAGTGCTGACTCCCCCCTTGTCCTGCTTGTTCCTGTACGATTCCTCCATTACCAACCCGGCTTGTTCGATTACTCTCCTGCTACAGGTTCCTGACTTTGGCTCTGCTCCTGACTTTGGCTTTTCCTTCTGATTCTGTACCGCGCTGCCCGACTGTTGATGACCCTGGCTATCCCATGACTCCGCTCCAGTCCCTTGTCCTCACTACCTACCTTGCTCTGGTGCACGTCTGGCAATCCACAGAACCTGCTCTGTATATTATTACGGTGTCCAAATCAGAGGATCATCCGCCTTCCAAGGTCATCATCTGCAAGAGCTGCAAGCAACAACCACTGGCGCTCTTGTCCCTCTGGTCCCTAGACTCCCTCTGTTCCAACATCAGCGGGGTCAGGGCTAGTGACACAAGTGAGGCCGACCTCGTCAATTCAGTCTCCCATCAGGTACGTGACATCAGCTGTGATTGGACACAGCTGATCACATGGTAAACGGCCGCTGTGATTTTCCCTTTACCGTGATTTGCGATCACAGAGAGTGCTGAGTGTGCGGTTCTGGGAGGACGTCAATAGACACCCTCCCAGAACTGGACAACCGTGCTGTAGCCATCATTCCGCTATAGTGCGCTTGGCAAGTGGTTAAACAATGCTGCCCAGAAAGATCATATTTTCAGTTCAATTTTTCCCAAAGTGGACCTAACAGGGATTAGAACACCTGTCATGTTTTGTTGATGCCTTATAGGAAAGGTTCACCCTTTGTATTTCTCCTGTTTATGGTTATCACCAAAAATAAAAGTGAAAGAAAATCCCAAATTTGGGTTGTCACCAGAAAAAGAATAGAGGGGATATCTTCCAATGGAGACACTAGTCCTGGTGACCCTGGTGATGACCAGGGATTCCCTCACTTCGGAAGGACTTCCTCTCACTTCCAGTTTTGTCTATGAACAAGAAGTGAAGGAAAATCTCCCCAGTGGGCCACAGATGAAAAAAAATAAACAAACAAACGGGGTTATACCCTCCTCCTATTCTATCCAAAATGGGAAAAAAAACATTAAGATAATGCTTCCTATTTTTTATAAGATAGTACTTGCCATGACTAGAGACCTGATGGTCTGAAGCACGGGGGTCAAATTTGGAATTTTTTCTTCTGCTTAAAAAGAAACTTGCTTCTGTGAGATGACTGGTGAGCTAATGGTGGACCAAATTTGCATGTGAATGATAAAAGATGTAAATGTGGGGATGTGCAATTTTTATTAAATACATTTTTGTGAATTTTGTAGTCAGCATTGGGCTATAGTTAGCCTCACTGTACCTTTGCAGACTTACTCTAATCAGAGTATATTTCCTCTGCCACATGCTGTTTGAGCTTTTTCCAGCAAGGGTTTGTGGGAATTCCTGAAGATGTTGGCTGCTGGATGAAGAGAGTGGAAATATAGAGAGGTATGGCTGAGTGGAAAATTATGGAACGGTACCTTTCCATGCTGTCCTTACCTGGAAGTGAAGATTGAGATACCACTCGAAATTCAGTTTCCAGGAAGCCTGAGGTCTGCAGGAGTCCAGCCAGCACAGTCTGTGATTTGAGAGTAACCATCAGAGACTTTGAGAGATCCAGAAGAGATCAATGCCTAGTCTAATGTTTGAGATCTAGTGCAGAGTTTCTCAACCTTTTTTCAGTCAAGGCACCCTTTAAAATTATGGATAATCTCAAGGCACCCTTCAAAATTATGGATAATCTCAAGGCACCCTTCACAAATTTACACAATATCAAGGCACCCCAATCTAAAATGTTTAAAAACCATTGCACACACATCCAGTACACCCAACGTTAGAGATGATTTATTCTTCCAAAGCAAATACACCTTTGCACACTGGTACTGAGTAGTATTCCAGTATGTCTCTCTCATTTTCTCTCCCTCACTCTGTTAATATGACCCCAGTGCTGATGGAGAGGGACAGAGGAGGGCCAATCAAGGATGATGTGCATGCCCCCTGACGTAGTCCTTATCAACTGATGATGTCATTGGTTGTTAGGATGCTGGCAGCTAGAAGGTTATAAAAGTGCACAATGAAAACCTGTGGCTTTGTATACTAAAAGGCAGGATTGATCCACCTGCTGGCTTGTATACAATTTTTGGGCATTTTGTTAAGGCATCCCTGAAGAAGCCTGAAGGCAACCTAGGGTGCCTGAGCACCCTGGTTGAGAAAGGCTGATCTAGTGGACTTTGGTATAATCCTGACCATTCCTCACCCTCCTTCCCATACTGACGTGATTTAAACCTCTTTTCTATTTTAAATCTAATAAATTGACCTTTTGAACATCCAAATGAAAGACCCACACTTGAGGTGAATGTTTCTGGGACATTACTGTAAGTAAAGGCAGCTGTTTGATAGCTGAAGATCAATATTCATGTATTAACTATTGAAGAGAAGTAAGTATTAAGAAGCTATCCGATTTACAAAACTTTACACATGGAACTACTTTTTTGTTTGCTCTATAGTAAATCAGGCCTATGCATTTTTTTCAATTACAATAATTTGCTATTTATTACAGGTACTTATATAGCGCCGTCAATTTCCACAGTGCTTTATATATATATTGTACATTCACATCAGTCCCTAACCATCAAGGAGTGTACAATCTAAAATCCCTAACTTATATTCATACACTAGGGCCAATTTAGACAGGATCCAAATATTCTACCAGCATGTCTTTGGAGTGTGGGCGGAAACCCACGCAGGCACAGGGAGAACATGCAAATTCTGCTAGGTGGAAGTGCTAACCATTTAGCCACTGTGCTACTATGTTGTTAACTGCATAGTGAGTTGATCTGCTTTATAGTGCAGTTGTAAAATGCAGATCAATGGAAGAACATCTGAGAAACAATCGTTTCCAATGTGTCCAATTCAGACCACAACGCTGCATTGACCTGCGCAACAGATGTAAGCGAATGTAAGCAGAAGTCAATGCAATAAACAGGATATCCTGTGAAAATGCAGTATGCTTTAATGCGCACTAAAATGCATGTCAACAGACATCAGAGTGTAACTAAAATGGATAGAAATGTACATCCATTTTCCATTCATTTTAGTGCAAGTTAGTGTGAATTTTCCCTTCTGTTGTGTATAATTATTTATTTTACTTATTTCAATTCTTCTAATAGGTTAAATACGAACTTAACCACAGACCTTCTATGATGTACTGTCAAATCAGTAATAAGGTAAGATGTTATGGCTTTGTAATTATTCATTTTATGACCAGAGGTTATCAATCTGTAGATACCTAGACCAAAAATGCAACATTTACCAGTAATTCATAGCAGGTGAATCTTCCTGGTGCATATGTTTTAAATGACTGTGAATGATTCATAGAAATATGAAAGAGTGATGGCAGAAAAAAGACCAAGTGGTCCATTATTTTATATACAATATATATATATATATACTGTGTGTGTGTGTGTGTGTGTATATATATATATATATGTATGGGTTAGACAAAAAAATTGAAACACTACATGATTTGCAGATGTGAAAGTGACGACATGTTTCGCATTGAAAGCGGAAGTGATGTAACATTCTTTTGCTTCAGCTGTGTGATGAGACACCTTATCACAGTTGCCAATTTATTTGCTGTGTCGCCAGGTACAGTATCAAAGGATAGGATGGCATATACAGTGGATATAAAAAAGTCTACACACCCCTGTCAGGTTTCTGTGATGTCAAAAAATGAAGCAACGATAAATCATTTCAGAACTTTTTCCACCTTTAATGTGACCTATAAACTGTACAACTCAGTTGAAAAACAAACTGAAATCTTTTAGGTGGAGGGAAGAAAAACTAACAAACTAAAATAAAATGCTCCTGTAATTTTTAATTAAACTCACCTGTATAAATTAACAGGAGCTGACAATGTAAAAATCACACCAGCAACCAGTTAAAATGGTGAAAAATGGACTCAACCTTTCCGTTGTTTGTCTCTGTGTGCCACATGGAGCATGGAGAAGAAAAAGAGCAGCAGCAAAGAATTGTCTGAGGATTTAAAAACATAAATTGTGGAAAAGCGTGGACAATCTCAAGGTTACAAGTCCATCTCTTAATCTTAATGTTTCTGTATCCACGCAACATTGTCAAGCCCATGGCACTGTAGCTATTCTCCCTGTGCTGCTTGTAATACAGAGACATGTCAGAGCTTATTGAGATTCAAAGAGGGCAAATTGTTGGTGCCGCTTAGCTGGTGCCTCTGTGACTGAAGTTGCCAATTTATTTGCCATGTCGCGAGGTACACTATCAAAGGTTATGGCAGCAGATACAGTATCTGGGAAAACATCATCTGATAAGCATAACCGTTGTCTTACTTTTCGAAAATGCTAATGTTTGTGAATGATTGTGCTCACCGTTCCCACAGAAAGATTTGTTTCTTCTGCAATTTCACAACAAGTAATGCATTGGTTATCCAGGATCAGGCGTTCCATGTGCTGAATGTTCACAGGAATGACTGCCGTGGGCTGTCAACCACCATGGCCGGGATCATCACTGAAGGATGGATGGCCATCTTTGAAATGTTTACACCATTCAAATGTTTTACTGCAGATGAGCATCTTACCACCATACTGTGCTTGAAGTCTTCTGTAGATATCTGAAGGTTTTACACCTTCGTTCACAAGAAACTTCATCACCACATGCTGTTCCATGCATGCCATAACACTGCTGTCTGCCATCTTGATTACCGGTCTCTGGACTGGTCCGCGACATGTGCGCTGCCTATCAGTAATAGGACACACTTGCCACTTACTACTGCATGTAGTACCGCGACACTAGCATCCCTTTCTAGAGCTGTAAAATTAAAGTCCCAATTTGATTTGAATGGCCCTCGTATATAGACTATTTTGCCAAAAGTATTGGGACGCCTGCCTTTACACGCACATGAACTTTAATGCCATGCCAGTCTTAGGCTTGGTTCACACATATGCATTTTTGTGTTTGAAGCTTTCTCTAGTGCTTTTTGCGGTTTGTGTTTTGTGTTTTTTCTACATGCGTTTTTGACATGTTTTTACCGCATTTTGCATGTTCAAAGTGGAATTCTTTTTGTTGCTGGGCAGAATAAAAATGCAAAATGCAGCAAGAACGCACTACCATGCATTTCAGCAGCTTCTCTATTGAACTCTATTGTTGCAAAAATGTTGCTTTTTGCTTTTAAAAAAGTCCCCAACCCTTTCCAAAAACGCAGCAGCTGAAAAAAAGGATAGATGTGAACATGTTCCATAGGAAACCATGTAACTGGACTGTAGTGTGTTTCTGCAAAAAGCACTTAAAAGAAATTGGTGTGAACGAAGTCGCCAACTGTCTGCAGAGTCAATAGCTAAAGACCTCCAAACTTCATGTGACCGTCAGATGAGCACAACAGTGCGTAGAGAGCTTCATGTAATGGGTTTCCATGGCCGACCAGCTGCATCAAAGCCTTACATCACCAAGTGCAATGCAAAGCGTCGGATGTAGTGGTGTAAATCATGCCGCCACTGGACTCTAGAGCAGTGGAGACATGTTCTCTGGAGTAACCAATGACACTTCTCTGTCTGGCAATCCAATGGACATGTCTGGGTTTGGCGTTTGCCAGGAGAATGGTACTTGCCTGATTGCATTGTGCCAAGTGTGAAGTTTGGTGGAGGGGGATTATGGTGTGGGGTTGTTTTTCAGGGGTTGGGCTTGGCCCCTTAGTTCCAGTGAAGGGAACACTTAAGGCATCAGCATACCAAGAAATTTTGGACAATTTCATGCTCCCAACTTTGTGGGAACAGTTTGGGGATGGCCCCTTCCTGTTCTAACATGACTGCACAACAGTGCACAAAGCAAGGTCCATAAAGACATGGATGAGCGAGTCTGGGGTGGAGGAACTTGACTGACCTCAACCCAATAGAACACCTTTGGGATGAATTAGAGCGGGGACTGCCAGGCCTTCACGTCCAACATCGGTGCCTGACCATACAAATGTGCTTCTGGAAGAATGGTCAAACATTCCCATAGACACACTCCTAAACCTTGTAGACAGCCTTCCCAGAAGAGTTGAAGCTGTTATAGCTGCAAAGGGTGTGCCATCTCAATATTGAACACTACGGACTAAGACTGTGATGCCATTAAAGTTCATGTGCGTGTAAAGGCAGGCGTCCCAATACTTTTGTCAACATAGTATATATATATATATATCTATATATAGTGTGTATATATATATATATAGTGTGTGTATATATAGTATATATATATATATATTGATATTGTGACAGGACGAGACTCTGCCACTGTGAAATTGGTCATCAAAAGGACATGGAGATTTCACTTTTGCTGAGTGCAAGACTAGGGAACACATGTACTGAATGGAGAAAACTGCATTTGCAGCTTTCTCCAGGTTTTGGTAAGTCTGGATGGGGCTCCCTAGTTTGAAGATTCCATAGTGCCTTGGGCGGGATGGAATCTCCAACCCAGTGTCCGGGTTTTGTGGAGGAACAGCAGGGTGTGTGTCCAGGTGCACACAGCCTTTATAATGGAGGTTTTGGAATACCTCAGGGTCTATTCTGGCCGACAGGAGGTCCTTGCTCAGGAATTAGGAGAGCTCCACCGAGGAGAGGTGGGAGCCAGAGAAGCAAGGAGCTACTAGCTATGTGCTAAGAGCCATTTAGAAAAGAGTCTACAGGAGACAGCTGTGAGCCTGAAGTTGAAGGCCAGAGCCGCGGGATCGGATGTATAAGCCAGGAGGCTAAATGTCTGTGTTTGGAAGAGTAAAATGCTAAAAACCCCTGTGTGGGAAATCTATGGTTGTGGACTTACGGAACTTTCTTTTTAATAAAATTGGGCAAAAACGGCCCTTAAAAAGAAGAAAGCGAGTGGCTGTGTGCTTTAACCACTTGCCGCCCTGCCACTGTAGAAATACAGCGGCAGGGCGGCACGGGCAGGCAAAACCACGTTTTAAAATGTGTGTGTTAGTAAACAGGTAGGGGGCGCGCGCGAGGCGCGCCGCCGCCCTACCTCCCGCCTATCACAGCCGCGGATGTCAGTCGCCGGGTCACAGCCGGTCCTTACCGGCTATCTCCTGGCGATCGGCGGCAATCAGTGACAGAGCGCACAGCTGCAGTAACTGTGTTTTCTGTCACTTCCCTGACAGCTCGAGGACAAGCTGATTGGGACAGAAGAGTTTCACTCTCCCAATCAGCCGTGTCCCCTGCAGTACACCCCTCACACTCCCCCTCACACAGATAACCCTTCCCTGCAAAATAAACTTAACCCCTTCCTCCCCAGTGCCATTAGTACAGTGTCAGTGTTTTTGTTTTGCACTGATCACTGTATTGGTGTCACGGGGAATGTCAGTGACCCCAAGTCAGTACCCCCCCAGTGTCAGAATGTCCGCCGCAGTCCCGCAGTCCCGCCATAAGGCGCTGATCGCCGCCATAAGTCGCTGATCGCCGCTATTAGTATAAAAAAAAACTAAAAATCCCAGTATCTTTCCCGCCATTTGTAAACGCTATAACTTTCACGTAAACCAATTAATTTACACGCATTGGGTTTTTTTTTTAGCAAAGACTTGTCCCAGAATGCATTTTGGCAGAAATTTATGACTAAATTTGATTTTTAAATTTTGTTTTTACTGGACATGTTTTTATAGCAAAAAGTCCAAAATATTGTTTTTTTTCCTCAAAATTGTCAGCCTTTTTTTTTATAGCGCAAAAAATAAAAACCGCACAGGCGATCAAATACCACCAAAAGAAAGCTCAATTTGTGGGGGAAAAAAAGGATGTACATTTCATTTATGTACCGTATTGCATGACCACGCAATTGTCTGTTAAACTAGCGCAGTGCTGTATAGCAAAAAAATGGCGTAAATTGCAGTATTTATTCCATAGTTTGTAGACGCTATAACTTTCACACAAAGCAATCAATATACACTTATTGGGATTTTTTTTTACCAAAAACATGTAGTAGAATACATTTTGGCCTAAATTTATAACCAACTTTGAGTTTACTATATATTTTTTTTATAGCTGAAAGTAAAAAATATTGTTTTTCTTCAAAATTTTTGGCCTTTTTTTTGTTTATAGCGTGAAAAATAAAAAGCGCACAGGTGATCAAATACCACCAAAAGAAAGCTCTATTTGTGTGAAAAAAAGGACGTAATTTTCATTTGGGTGCAACATTGCATGACCGCACAATTATCAGTTGAATTAGTGCAGCAAAA